TTGTACAGGGTGGGGATGGGTGTTTTCCCACTATGATGCTTGTGTCTGTGGAGAGGGTGGGCAGTAGCTGACATTAAGGGCCAGCTCCCCTGGCCCTGCCCTGTCCTGCCCCCATCCAGTCAGCTCAGGTCAGCGGAGGCCACGCAGGGGTCAGAGGGTTGAGTCTCAGGGCCTAGCCCACTGCTGGCCCTGCACCCCAGGCTCCTGAGCTGTCCAGGGGTTGGGGATGAGCTAGAGACACCTTTCTTGGCAGGCAATCCTCTGTCCCCTGGGAGTGAGCGGGTGAGACTATTTTCTAAAACATCTTCTGTGTAGACTATTAAAGGATTTGTAACAACCCAGCCTGCCACAGGGCGCGAGAGCGGGGCAAGGGAGACATGGGCCGGGCGGGGGGTACTACTTTCCAGGGTCACAGGGTCTGCTGGAAAGAGTGGGGGTCTCCTTGTTGCTGTTCCCAGGGAATGGGCCTCTCTGGCAGTTTCTGGGTCCCTGCTCAGCCTGGCACACTTGGAGAGGCCTGCTCTTTGGTGTGACTTGTCTGTTGAGACAGGTGTGGACCAGATCTCTGGGCTCCTGCCCTCAGAACAGTGGGCTCATACGGGGGCACAGAGAAGCCACTAGATCAAGTTGGCCTATCTTTCTAGAGCATTCTTTTTTGCAAAGACTTGTGAAGGAAACATCTTGAAATTAAAGAAATATGATGGAATAAGATGTGCAGAATCCAGGTGGGAAGACTCCCATTGACTGTAGGGGTTCAGAAAGGCTGGTGAAAAGGTGATCTAGGAACCCGTTCCTTTCCCACTCTTAGGGTTCCCTAGGTGGAGTGGGACATTGTTTCACTTCCTGTCTGGAGGTCTCACCTGCCTGCAGTGGGGCAGCCCAGGAGGTGTTCCATCGGAATCCACCAGGTGGCGATGCTGTTTAAGCCAAGGAGCCCAGCAGAGCTCAAAGTCCTCTACCTGTGGCTACTCCAACACCTCAATAGCCCCAGGCCTGGGAGTCTCACACCAGGTGGGAATACTTTATGAAAATGAAGATTCCACGGCTCGCTCGGGAAGTCTAATGCATAAGATGTTTGGAGTGGACAAGGAATCTGCATTTTTAGCAGGCCTAGAGTTCTGGTTGGCACCGTAGGATAAGCACTCGATCTCAAGGTTGGTTTGAACTGCAAAGTCGGCATATCAAACCCAACAGCCTCTCCTTGGAAACCCCATATGGGGTCGCTATGAGTCGGAACAGACTCAACAGCACTTAACAACAAGGTGATTTTGGATTCTTATGACTAGTTTCTCAGACCCTAATAAGATGCAGCAAGAAACTGGCACCCTAAAGAGATGCTGGGGTGGGGGTGGCCTCCCACTAAAGGGCCTGTTTTCAGCTAAGAGGAGGGACAGTATAACACTAAGAGACCATCTAACTCTTGGTCTAAACATAGCTAATATTTTCCAATAGATTTTCTGTGATTGAAGTAAGGGTAAATCCACTTTCAGGCCTGTAGGAGGCGCTGGGCATAGCTCTGTGACGGAAGAAGCCTTCGGCTCCATGGGGGCTTTTCTCTGCCGGATCTGGGACTCTTCCTGCAGCTGCTTACTGTGTTGTGAGGGCTGGGGCCTATGGGTAAAGCTGGTGACATTTATTTTATTTATTACCTACTTCATTCTACAAGGAGCTCTGGTGGCTTAGTGGTTACAAGTTGGACTGCTAACCGCAATGTCAGCAGTTTGAATCCAGCAGTTACTTCCTGGGAGAAAGATGAAGCTTTCTGTTCCTGTGCCTCAGAAACCCTATACAGGGTCTCTAAGAGTCTACCAAGTCAATGGCACACAACCACCACCGCCACTCCATGCCACAAAGGAAGTCCATGTAATAAAATAGAAATAAAATGCTAATAAGAAAAGTATAAATTTATGAACAAGTGTAGACTCTGGTGAAATAAACACAGCTGCATTTCCCATAAGACTATTTACCTGATGATGCCAAATGCTAATTTGCATGATCTCCATGATCATCTTCACAGCAGACATCACTAATTGATCACAGCTCTCATGTTCGTAGCTCAGATACATCCTGGCTGCACCTCTGGCAGACATCACTAATTGCAGCCTCAGAATCCTTGTCAAAGGAGTGCTGTCAGCAATTCTAGTTGGAATGCAAAATGAAGTGGCTGCCCTTGAGCTCTAGTTGCTTAGTTGAACCAAGTATAATTTTGCCTCTGAACTTGCCGGTGGTTAACACAAAAGGGAATAGTTAGTTATTCTTTACTGTTTCTCAAAGTTCCTTGAGGAAAAAAACTGATTCATGCTTATCTGCTGCTAGGAATATGACTGGCTAGATTTCAGACCACTCTCCAACATGTAAACCTAGATAGCTCTTCATGACTGGAACAAGAGGAGTCACTGGGACAAAAAAACCTAAGTGGGCCTGCCCTGGGCTGGTTGTTGGCAGTAGGGACAGAAGCTCGGTCATCCATCCAGGAGAAACTGGGAGGACCCAAGGAATGTACAGGAAGTATTTGGGAGATCATCTTACTTGCCAGTTGGCGCTTGTTCTATGTCTCATTCCACTGACGTGTTACGTGATGGCGCAGTGGTGATGTGCACAGCTGGTGGTTTGAACCCAGAAAGACTAGGTAATTTGCTCCTGTAGAGATGACTGTCTAGAAAGTCCTAGGAAAATGGACTCAAGGGCACCTAATAACAGTGCTCCTGTGGGAGGGCAGTGGTGGTTCCGTGGTAGGGTTCTCACCTTTCATACCGGAGACCTGGGTTCGATTCCTAGCTATGCTCCTCAAGGGTAGCCACCACCCTGTCAGTCAGTGAAGGCTGGTGCCTCACTGTGAGGCAGAACAGCTCTCAGCAGTTTCCTAAGATGGAATACGGAAAAAAGCCTGGTGATCTCCCCAAAATCAGACGACAAAAATCAATGCTGCTGTGCCTGGGCTCACAGTGGACCAACTCAATAGGCCCTGAAACACTTCTCCCCATTTTACAGAGGAGGAAAATGAAGTTTAGGGGTAAAATATGGTCCGCAGCATTCTGTTGCTGGTAAGAGGACGAGCAGGGAGGCACTCCTGGGCTGTCTGGACTGAAGTCTACGGTCCCAAGCCCTAGCCCACCTGCTGCTGCCAACACAGATGGGGTCTGGTCCATTGTTACTGTTTACTGTGGGACCCTGGGGGCACAGTGGGTTAAGCATTGCACTGATATGCACAAGGTCAGTGGTTTAAACCCACCCAGCCTCTCTGGGAGAAAGGAAGCTGTCTGCCCCCGTAAAGAGGTACTGTCTAGGAAGCTGGAGGGAGAAGTTCTCCTCTGCCCTCTAAGGTGAGGTGGGACTAACACGATGGCAAGTGGGAGGGACTTTGTGTCACAGGAGTCTCATTCCCTCCCCCTCCCCCTCCAATGATGGGCTTACAGAGTGGGGACGGCTCAGTGGGCTGCAAGAGGCAACTTCAGCTCAGTGAAAGCTTCAGCTCAGTGAAAGCACAAGGCTTGGTCCCTGGCTGTGGGCTGCGGGTGTCCCTCATCCGATAGAAGGATTTGGGGCTCTGAGCTACTGGGACCAGGACACACCTGGCTGAGTTTAGACACCCCTCAACACCAGGTGTCAGAGCTTTGCCACTGCCCAACCCTTTGTCCTGAGAAAAGGTCTAGGCTCAACCAATCAGGGATATCTGAGTTCAAATCAAGTTTGGGGGGGACGTGTTAATTACGTGACTATTGGCAAACCTCTTTACCCCTTAGGCTTGCTTCCCTCATCTGAGCATGGGAATGTTAACCGGGCTGTGTGAGGTTTTGTCTATGGCTTGCAGTGTGGCCCTCCCAAGATGCCTGGCATGGAACAGCAACTCTGTACTTTTCTGTTCTCTTGCTTCTTTGAGGGCCTTGCACTCCTTAGCCCCAAACCAGCATGTACTCTCCTTGGTTTTGCTCAACCCACAAATGCTCCCAGCTGAGCAGACATCTTTCTAGTCTCTGCATAAGACCATGGTAGTGGGGGAGCTGACACAGGGTGAGGGTCTTCAGGGGACACTCAGGGCCCTACACTGTCCTACCCTTCAGTGCTGCCTGAGGTGGGGGCCCCCAGTGTGAGACCTGGGAGAAATGGGTATGAACAAGGTCAGATCCTGTCTGTCTCGATCCTGCCTGTCTAGCACCTGGCACCTGTCCCAATCTGCCTGTATCCTAGCAGAGTCGCCCCAGGTCTTCCAGGTGAGCAAGTCCCCCGCCAAGAAGAGCAGGTGGGGGTCTATGACAATCCAGGGTGATTCCTTTCCCTGCAGAGGGACAGAGACCCAAGTTGCCTCACTGCCTGGGG